ATTAGGTAACATGCTGAGGTCCCTTCCACCTAGACCTAAGCAGAAGTGGCCGCAGTTGGTACAGACCATGACGTTTGTGTACAACTGTACAGCGCATGAAACAACAGGTTTTGCCCCTTTTTACTTAATGTTTGGCAGAGTACCACGGTTGCCAGTTGACCTTATGTTCCAGAGTGTTCTGCGGGACAAGTCAGTTTGTGACTACGACCAGTACGTTAAATCGCTCATCAGTGACCTCCAGTCTGCTATGTCAGTGGCGCAGAAGAATTCTGTTCAAGAACAAAAACACCAGTCAAACCAGTACAACAAAAGAGTTAAAGGCCTTCCTCTAGCCATTGGTGACCAGGTGCTTGTGGCTAACAAGGGTTGTAGAGGGAAACGGAAACTTGCTGACAGATGGGAGCCTGTTGTATACACTGTCGTTGCCTCAAAGCCTTCCATACACGTCTATAGGATCTGTGACAGAGCTGGTAATGAGCGAACAGTACATCGCAATCTTCTTTTGCAAGTGAACTTCCTCCCTTTGCCTGATACAGACTCAGATAGTTCTGGTCAAGAGGATGCTGGAACACCTACCTCCAGCGTCCCTTCGCAGGGGGTGGTCTAACTGCCCAGACCCACAGTGATACTTGCTCCTACGTTGGCAAGATTGAGCCTGCAGAGGATGCAGATGATGACCGCACTGCTTCATGGGTGCATTCTCAGTTGCCCTGCCAACAGGAGCCAAATTCACATCTTGCTGTGCCAGTGGCTGATGACAATACTGTGGCTGGTGCTGGTGCTGACCCTTCTACCCAAAATCCTGTCTATGACAGTGTACCTGTTATGCAAGGTCCTGTAGCTACAGCTCATTCAGCTCATTGTTACTCTACCAGGTTTGGGAGAGTTATCAGACCAGTTCGCAGACTTATTGTTCAACTTGATCAACTTGAAACCCTGTTAGGTTTGGATTCTGGGTCAACAGTAATTCATGTTTAAATTTAAACTTTGACTCTAAGTACATGCAGCTTTCGGAACTTGCTTTGTTTGTTTTTTTTTATTTTCCCAAGTGAAACTTACCTTAATTGAGCACATGGTCTAAGTGTACGAGGTGTAATGGGCACCTTGATGAAGTCTATAGAATGTGATGAAATTTGGCCGATTTCAAAACATTTTTATCCTTTCATTTTGATTGCTGTGATTGCTGACTGTCTTCACTGATTGTTTAGAGTGTGGACCATGTAATTCTTATGACCAGTTTTCCTATGTTTCCTATGTTCTCAGAATTTTGTGTAATTCTAGGGGGGTGAGTGTAACCGGTATAGAAAGTAATGTTAATTTCATATGTAGAATTACACAAAAATTTTCACGATGTGTACCTGATATGCCTGTCTGTGTGTGCACCTTCCCCTTTAAATTTCTGACAGCAGCGTTAGTCTTAATTTCCTGTCTTTGCACCTCCTCTTCCCTTTCTGCACTGTGAGGTGGGTTTCTAATGAACTCTGATTAATCTAATTTCATCTTTGCTTTAAAAAGCACTTTTATACTCCATTTAAATCATATTTGTGACATTATTTTATATGTATATGTGATTATTTCTGTATTTTCACTAAGTTTTGTCAGTTTTCTGTCGATCGATGCACTTGAAGCACGTGCTAATTGTGTTGCACTTTACATTCATTTAACCGAAAAGACAAGAAGGGCGAAAACACACTGTAAAGACTGTTTTATGTTTTATCAGTAAATGAAGAGTCGAACCGTCAACTGATGTCCGTCTGGTTACTACTTTGAGAAAAAACACAACGCAGATTACACCGGTCACACGTGTATGGATTATTTGGTGGCTTAAACATCTGAGAAGTCTGGAACTAGAAGAACTGACTTGCATCTACTGCTTAAAAGCAACGCTGGACTTCAAACATCTCTTTTCTGGTTTAACTTTGCTGGGGAATCATCTTGACATTCAAGTACTGTTTTTTTTTTTTTTTTGCACTTCATGTTTCAACAAAGACTGCTCTCACTTTATGCTCTCTACAACAAAGACTGAGCAAAGTATATGGGTCTACGTGATTACAAGCCAAGGACTATGCTTTGGGATACTGGACTGTTTTTATGCTCTGGTCCTAACTGTGGAACTCTCAATTGTTTGTGTCATATTGAATTTGTATGTGCTTGGTAATTATATTTAATACACCTGACTCATGAGTAAGATTGGTTCCTCATTCCGTGTAACACTTGCACAAAAGACAAAAGTATACGTGTTACAATGTGGGGACATTTTAGTCCTGAGTCTATTTTGTATTTTACCTCATGTAAAATATATTTATCAAAGAAAATGTAAAAATACAAATTTTTGGAAAAAATTATGATGTTTGCATTAAATAAAAGAGAAAAATGTCCCTAAAGACGCACAAGAGTTAAACAGAAATAAGCAATATTAATATTAGAAAAAGTTTATTAAAAGACTTGCGGCCCGTAACACTAAACAATCGCTAACAGACACTCCGGTTCGGTCCATGATCATGATTACAGTACGGCGATTCTGTCCTACATCTGTGTTATTGCTCGTTCACAAACACAACACGGATTCATGCGCTTACAGAAAGAAGAAAGGCTTTTCTCCTGACAGCTGCAGATCTGGCATCACAATATCTGATCTGAGAACTGCTGTCAGTCACGAAACACACAAGCAAGTGAAACCGACCAACTCCTCAATGATTGGTCGATTGTGTGTCGCAGAATTTGAATCGGCTGGTTTCTACAGCTTCTGATTGATTGATTGATTGATTGTAATCTCGCAGAGATTTTGATTGGCGTCTCACAGTGTCACATCAAAAGAAGACAGAAAATAGAATTGCAATAGAATTTCTCAGAACATGCAAACTGTTCTGTCCAGCAGTGCATAAGCTCTTAGTTGTGTGGAAGACTAGCGGAGAACCAGAGCCGTCAGCTGCAGTGCATTCTGGGTAGTGTCTTTGATATGACCTCTCCTGCTGTCTGGTTTAAAGGTGGCAGTGCCAATCAAAGCTTGACCTTTGACCTTGATACCCTGAGGAGGACTGTAAACTCTGCTGAAGCGACTGCAGACTCTTCATCATCATCATCATCATCAGCGTGCGTCCAGAGGTACGGCTCGTCTCAGATTAGGGGTTTCCCATGAGCCTTTGCGGTGTCAGACCGTTTCTGAGGAAATCTGTACTGTTCTGGGAACTTCCTGTTCTCTCAGCGGTTTGTCACAGTATCGGACGGTGTGTGTGAGTGTGTGTGTGTGAGTGTCTGTGTGTGAGTGTGTGTGAGTGGTTTCTCGTTAGCATTCAGTGCAGTTCATTTTCACAGCTGCCCACAGTTTCGTTCCTGTGGTGACGTGTTTCCTGTTGAAACAGGAAGTTGGGACACAAAGCGCTCGTCCTGCTGAAGGTCATGTGACTCTCACATGGAAGATCTTGTGTCACGGTTTGACCTTGCTAACAGCTAGCGTGTGTTCATTCACGTGTGCAGAAAAAACGACTTGCACCCCAAAATCAAAAGACCAAAACAAATCAATCAGATTTAGCATGAAGAAAAGGAAGCCAGTTTTCAGATTTTTTGCACATTTAAACATCTACAACTCTAGTTAGTCACTACTGTATAAATACTACAAAAATAAAAATACAAAACGGTATTAAAAAAATGCTGCTGTGGCATACCTATCATTGTTTTTGTCACGCTACTGTAATGATGTTTTAGGACCGTAATAATGCCACAATGCAAAACATTTAATAATGTGTTTATGGAAAACATAATGTCTGTGTTGCTTGTGATTGCGGGGTGGAATATCAGTACAGTTGGTCATAAGTTTACACCCCCTGTACTGAACCAAAGGCATCAGAGAAACGTCATGTTTTATTTAGTGCTGCCCTGAATAATCAGATGTTGACATATAAATGATGAGACAAAATAATAACTGAATTGACACAAATGACCCTGTTTCCAAGTTTATATATGCTTGATTCTTAATACTGTGTCGTTACGCTGATGATCAGTGACTGTACTCATGTTTTGTGACGCGAGTCTCGAGCAGTTCAAAAGTTTTCACCCCCCGCTCTTAATGCATTGTGCTTCCTTCTGGAGCGTCAGTGAATGTTTGCAGCTTTATAACAGTTGTGCTTTAGTCCCTCTTTCATTCTCAGAAAGCTGCTGGGAAGAGCTCAAATGTGCAGAAGATGCTGGAAAAGCAAAGTATGTGCAGGAACTGATCAGAACAAGAGACTCAGGAGCATCCATCACTGAACACACAGACAGGTAACCAGTGTTAATATTCAAGCCGATGTAAACTTCTGGGTCTTTGGTGTAAATATAGCACCACCTTTTGGCTGATTCTTACTAAATTTAACATACAGCTTAATTGAGACACCTTCCAAGTGTCTGCCATGCTTCATAACACTCAGCCATTCAGATTTGATGTTATGAGCTGCGGAAGTTTGATTGGCTGCTGGTGGCCGTATTTGTTTGGTTATGAGTAATATTTGAAGAATATGTTACCGTTTGACCCAAAGAAGGGGTATTACTGTTTTCTATATCTCACAGTTCTGAGAAAAGAAGTCAATTATGAGGGGAAAAAAGTCACAATTACCTTTTTTACTTTGTTATTCAGTGGTGGAAACTAGCTACACTGCAAAAAAATATTTTCTTCCTTAGTATTTTTGTCTTGTTTTCTAGTATAAATATCTAAAGATTCTTGAATCAGGATGCATTTACTTGAAGAGTAAAATTTTTTTTTTTCTGAAAATATTATCAAACTTTTGTTAGTTTTTGCTTAGAACAAGCAAAAATATCCGACAATGGTGTAAGAAAAATAATCTTAATTCAAAGGCTAAACAAGATTATTTTTCTTACCTCATTGGCAGATATTTTTGCTTGTTCTAAGCAAAAATTAAAAATGTGTCTATTTTTTTCAGAAAACAAGACATATCTTTTTTTAAATTGACAAGTCATTTTACTTGTCAAGTAAATGCATCTGAATTCCAGAATTTGTAGATATTTATACTAGAAAACAAGACAAAAATACTAAGGAAGAAAATCATTCTTTGCAGTGTATTCCATCTGGACCCCTAAATACAACATGGCATTTTTAGGAACTCCTCCGGTTTTGCTACAATAATGAATATTTTGCAGATTCAGTAAAGGGGATGTAAACTTATGACAGCAGCTGTACATCACAGCTGTGTGTGTGTGTGAGTGAGAGTGTGTGTGTGTGTGTGTGTCAGTGCTCATTGGGCATGTGTCTGATGGTGTGGAAGATCCAGTCCATCTTGGTGGTCCATCCTCCGTGGTGAGCGTCGTTCATCTGTTTGGTGAAGTACTCCAGAGCCTCCTGCTGGTTCTTCTCCAGCGCCAGTGTCTTGCGCAGGTAAGCGATGTCGTCGAAGCTCTGCAGCTCAGGCATCCCACAGCCCAGCAGCAGAGAGAAGAGGTTGATGAAGAGGCTGGCGTGCTGACGGATGGCCAGATACGCTTTATAACACATCTCCTGAAACCTGAGACACACCGATGGTGAGACACATCATACTGCACATGTGCGTGTGCGCGCGTGTGTGTATGAGAGTGTGAGAGTGTGTGTGAGTGTGCGAGTGTCTGCGCGAGTGTGCGAGTGTCTGTGTGAGTGCGCGAGTGTGCGAGTGTCAGTGTGAGTGTGCGATTGTCTGCGTGAGTGTGTGAGTGTGCGAGTGTGAGTGCGCGAGTGTGCGATTGTCTGTGCGAGAGTGTGAGTGTGCGAGTGTCAGTGTGAGAGTGTGCGAGTGTGCGATTGTCTGCGTGAGTGTGTGAGAGTGTGCGAGTGTCAGTGAGAGTGTGCGAGTGTCTGTGCGAGAGTGTGAGTGTGCGAGTGTCTGCGCGTGAGAGTGTGCGAGTGTCAGTGAGAGTGTGCGAGTGTCTGTGTGAGAGTGTGAGTGTGCGAGTGTCTGCGAGTGTCAGTGTGAGTGTGTGAGAGTGTGCGAGTGTCAGTGTGAGTGTGCGATTGTCTGCGTGAGTGTGTGAGAGTGTGCGAGTGTCAGTGAGAGTATGCGAGAGAGTGTGCGAGTGTCAGTGAGAGTGTGCGAGTGTCTGTGCGAGTGTGCGAGAGTGTGAGTGTGCGAGTGTCTGCGCGTGAGAGTGTGCGAGTGTCAGTGAGAGTGTGCGAGTGTCTGTGTGAGAGTGTGAGTGTGCGAGTGTCTGCGAGTGTCAGTGTGAGTGTGTGAGAGTGTGCGAGTGTCAGTGTGAGTGTGCGATTGTCTGCGTGAGAGTGTGCGAGTGTCAGTGAGAGTGTGCGAGTGTCTGTGAGAGAGTGTGAGTGTGCGAGTGTCTGCGCGAGTGTGAGAGTGTCAGTGTGAGTGTGCGATTGAGTGTGTGAGAGTGTGCAAGTGTCTGTGAGAGTGTGAGAGTGTCTGTGCGAGAGTGTGAGTGTGAGTGTGCGAGTGTCAGTGTGTGTGTGTTCACACCTCTCGAACTCTTTGGTCTTGGTGCACTCCTGCACACCCTTACTGATGACGATCAGGAAGTCTTGCGTGAGAACGAAAGGAACTCGCTCTCGCTTGTATCCAAATTTCTTCTTTTTATGATCCAGAAAGTGACCGAAGTCGATGTGGAACAGCTGCAGAAAACACAATCACACGATCAGTTTCTGATAAGTCTGAACACACTTTGGGTTCAAGAGACACTTAATATTCACTAATATCATCGATTTAATGCCCTGACACTGTCAGATGAGAACAAAACATGATTTGAACTGATCTGAATAATGACTCTATTGTCTTCTGTAGAGCTGCTTTACAGCTGAAATTAAACTAGTTTCATAATTGACGAATTGTATAATATTAAGGGGCTGTTCACACAGAACACATTTTTCCTTCTAATGCGCTACTTTTCTATTGTTTTTCTATGTAAACACACTAGACGGACGTGCATGACTGCGGCGCTTACGTCTTGTGTCTTTTGCAGTGCCGCGTTTAAGACGCTGTCAAGTTAAAAACTTTTACACGCAGCACCGCTCATCAATGTCAGCTCCAAAACAGAAGACCAATCAGAAGACCCTGGAGACGGGGCAAGCATTGCGAGCTTTCGTTTACAGTAGCGAGTTGGCATGTTAACTGCTATTGCATCACTTTACAAAAGCTTGTATCGAGACCCTCGCATTCAGTGCTGCGCTTTTCTAAAAACATGTTTGAGCACTGTCTCGCGTTTTTAGACGCAAAGATACGTTCTTTGTGAACGGCCCCTTACTGTTATTTTCCTGTTCATTACTGTGAAGCTGCTTTGAATCAATCTGTATTGTATAATAGAAATAAAGGTGACTTGTTGGTCATTCCAATAGCATTATGTACAGTTCTGTCATGACAACTCTTGGAGGGATTTGCATGGTAATGTACATGACAATGTTAATGTATTTGGTCTTGGCGGAATAGATCTGCTATGCTGCTGCTGCTGCCAATACATCCACAACATACTTCTGTGAGCATGTAAGAAATATTGCTGCTGCACATATAACGTATATGAAAGCACAGCGAGCTCATTGGCTACTGATACAGGAGAGAACCAATCAGCTGTGACGTGATGATTATGTCATACTGAGTTAGATATATCGGACTGCGCCATCTAGAGTTTCATGCCAGAACTTTGTATTTACGTGATTTGTTGTAATGTTGTCATTTCTGGCTCTCACTGTATTTGATTCTCATGCAATGTGTGTGTGTGTGTGTGTGTGTGTGTGTGTACCTGTCCGTTCTCCTTCACCATGATGTTGCTGTTGTGTCTGTCGCCGATGCCCAGAATGAACGTGGCCACACAGTATCCGGCACACGAGCGTGTGAATAAATCGATGGCTCTGTCGTACCTGAGAGAGAAACAGGCGGGGTCTTAACAAACGCTTCGCTGAGTCTCACACATTCATTCCATGAAGAGACTGGAGAAAGGGTTTGTCATACGCTGAGCATTTATTTCAACGGCAGGAAAGCAGATTTATTCCTTCTCAGTTTAGGTTCGGGAAATAAAAACTCCATTAATGTTTCCTCGTTAGGCAACTTTAACTTATAAACCTTCAAAGACCGAGCAACTGTGAGCTCTGAGGCTGTTAATCGATGGAATATGTTTTTGTTGAAGCCATCTGTTATTTCAACATATTTTTGTTTAACAGTGGATTTTGTGGTGAAAAACTACATTACAGAAAATTCCACCAATCAGGAAGTGAGCAAATCTCCAACTACCCTCTCAAAACACTTCAGTACTTGTATATATAATTAATTTGAAATTAACTTACAATATAGTATTTCCACATATAATCAACATCTTTTCATCTATAGTTTTAGATTTCTCCATCTACAGTTTTATATTTGACCATGGTTTTTAATTTGATAATGTCATCGGCAGGGCTTCATGGGATTGTAGTTTTTGCCTCATTGAAGTCGTTAAGTTAAATCTGATTATCAAACATTTTTTTGCTGTAAATCTAAGTCTCCTCGTAGCTGGTTGGTTTGATTCATGGATTATAACTCTTAAATGAAGACTTTTTTAAAATCCCTGTGGGAAAAATGCTTCCAGAACCAATGTCGTTGAAAAAGTGAGCAGCACTAATGAACTCTGTTGCACCTGAGTAAATTGATTAAATACAATGGTGTTTAAATGAGTGAATTATGAATTATTCAATAACATTAAACTGTAAAATTTGTTAAAGTGTGCATTAAATCAAAGTGTTTCTGTTTTCTGCCCCTCACTATTCATGCCATTATAATGCTGTTAATTAATCAGCTCCGAGTCTTCATTATGATATGTGTGTGTGTGTGTGTTCTTACGCCTCTCCCTTGTTCTTGTCTCTGATCCAGTGGTGCAGTGTGTTGCTGTTGAACTGCAGCGCCCCCTTCAGGCCTCCTTTACACTGAATCTGCATGATGGTGTGCGAGTTCTTCACCACCTCAATGAGACCCACGCAGTCGCCGATGGACAGACAGCCATACGGCAGCATTCTGCACACACACAGAGTTAGCCAGCTGTGATTGGTGGATGTGTGCGAGCGGTGGGTTGTGATTGGCGGATGTGTGCGAGCGGTGGGCTGTGATTGGTGGATGTGTGCGAGCGGTGGGCTGTGATTGGCGGATGTGTGCGAGCGGTGGGCTGTGATTGGCGGATGTGTGCGAGCGGTGGGCTGTGATTGGTCGACTCACCGCAGGTCCAGCCCCTGATTCTGCCAGATATTCTCCATGATTTTAATAATCTGCAGCGTCAGCATGTCTTGCCGTAGATCTGCATCACACACAGATATTAGATTACACCGATCCGGCCGTGGCGTCTGACTCAGGGTAACGGCTAAAACACACGGCTCACCATCTCCATTTTTAAAGATGATCTCATTATTGGTGAAGAGCAGCTCGCTCATGATATCCGGATTCTCCCAGTTCAACCACAGCGGCCGCTTGGCTGAAGACATGATACGGCACTCCTCCAACCTCAAACACAGAAATACAGAGCTAAAGCTTTTTCCAGAGGGGATTCTGGATTTCTCTTTTTTATCACTCCATAAATCAGAAAATACTGTCAACAGACAGAAAACAAACACATGTTGTATAAATCAGTGCGAATGAAATATGAACAAACCTTCAGAATATAGAGAGGAATAAAACCGTAAAGTTTGGAGTTTGTAAGAGAAAAACACTTTAAAGATTGAAATCTACAGACGCAAATAAATAGTCCAATATGATAAACACTTAAATGTGTACTTAGGATGTTTTCTTTCCACTAGTCTAAAAAAGACATGTTATGGAAGCAAAATAGACCAAAATCTCAAAATCAACTAGTGCAGAAAACACACTGGTTTTGCCTGTAGTCTTGTATTATGTGATACACATGTACTGTGTGTGTGTGTGTGTGTGTGTGTGTACCTGAGATTGCCCAGCTGGTGTACGGGGTTCAGAGGAGAAACAAAACCCTGCAGCGCCTCCATGTAATCTGGGCGGGACATGTGCTCCACCAGGAACTTCATCTGAGTCTGCAACAGCCAATCAGAATGCAGGATCAGCTTCATCAACCAATCAGCAGTCTCCGTAATGGGTGAGGATGGTGACATCACTGGATCAGGTTAGTGGCTTTGGGGCTGCGTTCCAGTCCATTTTCTTATGCCCTTCACTCGCAAACTTCCCTCCGTCTCGTTTACTCGGATGTACGCCATTGATTGCGTTGCATGAGTGCCCACTAGAATGCATAGTCGATATAAAAAATTGGATGATGAGTAATTTCTTACTGCTAAATTCAGAAAAAACAGAGGTGTTAATTATCAGACATAAAACCTCCGCATATAATAACCTAGAACACTGTCTAAGACTTGATGGCTGCTCTGTCAATTCTTCGTCATCAGTTAGGAACCTAGGTGTGCTATTTGATAGCAATCTTTCCTTAGAAAGCCACGTTTCTAGCATTTGTAAAACCGCATTTTTCCATCTCAAAAATATATCTAAATTATGACTTATGGTCAGACGAAACCAGCATGGTGTGGTTTAATTCCAGGCTGCAATGCATCCCAAGGTTTTTCTCCATTTTCTGTCACAGATGGAGTTTTGGTTCCTTGCCACTGTCACCTTTGGCTTGCTTATTTGGGGACACTTAATTTCTGGCAATATTGTCAGATTGCCTGATTACACACACACTGATGGAAGAGAGCTGAACTGGATGATGACAACACTGAATCAATGATGAACTGACTTTAGCTGGAAAACTGTCTTCTATTGTGCTCTTGCATTATCTGCACACGTGTTTCTTATTTGACATTGTGAAGCTGCTTTGACACAATCTGTATTGTATAACGTGCTATATAAATAAAGGTGACTTGACTTGTGGATCATCTCTGTCGTACCTGTGACACCTCGTCCCGTGAGTTCCACTTGACGGACAGCAGGAGTTTGGGAAGACTTTCTGGAATATTCACACAGTAATGCCTGCAACACAAACACACCGCTCTCATTGAGCTGTCGTCATATTTGTGAGAAACAGATTAATGTCCTGTGTATCACAGCTGAAACGGGCCGTCATTCTCAACGCAGGCTGTGTGTGTGTTTACCGATGTCTCCACAGGAAGTCTTTCTCTTGTTCGGAGAGCTCATACAGCGGGTCTCGACTGCAGAGTGTGCGCAGTTGCTCTGCGTCCGCCTGCGATATGGAGCTGTCACACACCAGACGACTGCTCTGATTGGCCAGAGAGAGTCAGCATGAGTCCCAGATTCACTCTGGCAGTGTGTGTGAGTGTGTTGCCTTTTCCAAATACCCACACTTGCGGTCTTGGCCACTTGAGAGTGTGTGCTCTTAAAAACCGCAAAGCGCAGTGCCCTTAACACACACTAAATCCACACTCCATCTCCAATACTGCTCTGGAGCGCTATTCCAGGCTTAAGCCCCGTTCACACCAAGAATGATAACTATAAAGATAACTATAAAGATATTGGCGTCCACACCAGCGGACGAGATCGTCTGTAAGCGCACGCTCATCTGACGCTTTAAATTCTCGAGCTCTGCTACATTGGAAAGCCCTCCTGCTAATTTTTCTTGGTTGAAGGACTTAATGTCTTTTCTACATTTGGAAAAAATTAAACACTCCATTAGAGACTCCTATGCTTTCCTTTGTTGAGACCATACCTTCATTATAGATTATAGATTATAGATGCAACTGCTTTTCATCACTTAATTAGATGCACTACAAATTAATTTGTGTCATGTTATAGGGACTACTGAACAGACATTGTTGATTTTAAAAATAAAGCTCTGTAAGCACTTGCATTTTTACAACACTATAGGTGCGTCCCATCAGGTAATGAAAAGTTCGACACACACTTGTGCTCTTCATGCTCATTTGAACTCTTGGGCCAAATACAGGAAATACGTCAAATAAGTAGTCAAGTGCAAAGAGCGCAAGTATGGGTATTTGGACAAGGGGACTGTTTGTGTGAGTGTGTGTGTGTGTGTGTGTGTGTGTGTGTATGGCAGGGAGTGAAATGTAAACATTTCCAGTTGGCGTGTTCTTCTATCTGCTGCTCATCGGGAAACACCACGGTCTGGTTAAACCAGGGGAACTCCAGCTCCACACACGGTGTCTCCTGCACACAACACACAACGAGGCACTGAGGTGAGTGACGGGACTCATTTTACTTCATTAGATTTCACCATATTTCTCACAATATATATGCATTATATTTTATGTGCATTTGTCATTTTTATTATTTAAATATTACTACTCGGGTTTTGTTTTAGTTCACTTTTAGTTTTTATGTATTTGCAGTTAGTAATTTCAGTGCTTCAGCTTAAACTTATTTGCCAAAGCAACATTTCTAGTTTTTGTTTTACAGTTTTTTACAATTGCTAGGACACGTTTCTCAATACTTGGGTCACTTCTTCACAACTCTTCACACAGCGAGCACAGCATCAGTCTCTGTGGGATAAACCGTGGATCATTGCTTTGGCACAAAATGCGTTCATTGAGCACATCTGTCAAATTACATGAATTCTTTTCTCACTTCAACACAAACACAAATGTTGTACTGTAATGTAAACATGGAGCATGTAACATATACTGCAGTGAATTATAAACAGCAGAGAGTGTCATTCTTGTTTTGTAAAGAAATTCTACAGTAGACAACATTGTGTAATGCTCCCTGTTAGTGTATTTTAGGTTGTTGTGTTATGAGTGATAAAGTGTTTGGTGAAAACCTTTGCTAGTGTTATGTTAGAATGAGTTGATTTGAGGCATTAATGAAGTGTTCTAGTGATTGTAAGTTATTTCAGTTAGCAGAATTGTTTTATGAGTTTCCGTTAGCAATAATAATCATGGCTCACACACCTTGTTTGGGTTGGATCCGGACACTCCGATGGGGTTGAGCAGATCCTCCAGACCGTGAGGAACCGGCCACAAACCCAGAGCCACTTTCCCGCTCACCAGCGTGTCTTTATAGTCGAAGAGGTTGATGTTTCCCCAGGCCAGAGGACAGTGTTCCTGCACACACACACACACACACAGATCAGCAGCGAGGGACTCACGCTCACTGACAGGATCAGCAAAGGTCAAAGTTCACCTCTTTGGCTCCCTTGCGGCCCTTGACGGAGCAGATGGACAGACAGAGACGAGCAGAGCGAGGAACATCGGTCAGGTAGATGTCATACGACAGCCACTCATTCCACCTGTGTGTGACAGACACACGGCACTCTCTGTTTTCAAGCACTTCAAGCACAAGCTTCTTCAATCAAGATATATTTACTGGAGAAGTAAAATGACCGGAGATATGAAGTCTTATTTCCTGAGAAACTGATGAAGTGAGTTTGTGATTAAAATAAGAACAAATATCCACCAAACAAGTTTACTGCTGTGACTCCACTGACTGATATCTTTTATTTTTAATTCTCAGAAACCAAGACTTCTTATCTTCTGTCATTGTGCATCTCCAGTAAATGCATCTTGATTTAACAATGTTTAGATATTTGTGCTGGAAGACAAGACAAGAATACTGAGCAACAGATTCATTCATCTGCAGTGTACTTGCTCATACGTGACTGTTGTGTGAGAAAGATTCTATTCTATTCTATTCCTAATCAACAAAATCAAATCAGTTTTGCTTCCACGTTGATTGATAAGCTAATACAAAAGGCAGAATTTGAAATATTTCATATATATTAATTCATATACACGATATTTAATTTTACATGTGTTTTCTTTGTGTGTTTTGTGTGTTTGTGTGTGTGTGTGAGTATGAGTGTCAGTGTGAGTGTCATAGTGTGTGTGTGAGTATGAGTGTGTTTGTGTGTGAGTATGAGGGTGTGTGTGAGTGTCATAGTGTGAGAGTGTGAGAGTGTGAGTGTCATAGTGTGAGAGTGTGAGAGTGTGAGAGTGTGAGTGTGAGTGTGTGTGTGTGAGTATGAGTGTGGACATTACCCCATGTCCCCACTTTTCAAAACGCATATAAATCACACAGAATGAAGTTTTTTGAAAATCTAAAAATGCAGAAAGTTTCCTGTGAGGGATAGGTTTATGGGTAGGGTTGTGTGTGAGAGTGTGTGTGAGAGTGTGTGTGTGTTACCTCGGGTTGGAGCAGGGCACTCTCTGTGTATTGACGTTGTCACACAGCGGTTCTCCTCCGTGATATATTCCTGTCCTGACGTAGATCTGTCTCACACACACACACACACAGATGAGTGAATGACTGACGCTCTCTCTGTCTCTCTCCGTCTCCGTGTGTGTGTGTCACCTTGTCGATGTCTCTGATGTTGACGTTGACGTATGTGGCACACAGCAGCCGGACTCTCAGGTGTGTGTTGAAGGCCCAGAGGGAGCGTGGTGAGCCGGGGTCTCCTCCTCCAGGGCAGGGGCTGGGCTGAGGTGTGCGCCGGCTGTACGACGGAGCCATGAAGCCACTGGAGGGCAGCTGACTGTACAGACTGTCCTTACTGACCAGCATGAGGTGAGGCAGACGGCCCAGCGTGATGCAGCTCCTGATGTACTGCACACACACACACACACTCAGCCTGAGCCTGTGCTCCACTCACCGCACCTTCATCACAGTTTTTTCAAAACGCTTACACACAGTTTTTGAAACTATGGCTCCATTTCTCAAAACACACACAACATGCAAAAGCAAACACTTCTTTTTATTATTTTAACTCTTCTAAAAATGGTATTATTGCATAGTAACTCTACACACAAACATAAAATAATTAGCCACATGCATGCCAAACTACACACAGATGTGAAAAATGCACACATACACTGTATATACCGTATGTATGACTGAAGAATTTTACACAGTTTTGCAACTGATCTGAATCAATACTGAACTGAGTTGAGCTGTAGGATGACACTATTGACTTAGAGCTGCTTTACAGCAGAATGTGAATTTGATGCTATTGTGAAGCTGCTGTGAAACAATCTATATTGAATAAAGCACTTGCCTGTGAATGAATGGCTCAGATCAGTGTCGCCACCTTGTGGACAAAATAATTAGCACTAAAAAAATCAAGGTGCATGCATGAGCTGAGAGTATGCATGTTCATAAATAGGGAACACATACTAAGATTATGAGTGTAAGTGTACTGTGAGCTTAAAGGGGTAGTGCACCCAAAAGTGAAAATTCTGCCATCATTTACTCACCCAACCTGTGTGAGTTTCTTTCTTCTGCTAAACACAAAAGAAGATATTATTAATAATGCTGGTAACCAATCAGTTGACGGTACCCATTGACTTCCATAGTATGGAAAAAAATATGATTGAAGTCAATGGCTACCAGCAACTGTTTGGTTGCCAGCATTATTAATAATATCTACTTTTGTGTTTAGCAGAAGAAAGAAACTCACACAGGTTTGCAACGACATGAGGGAGAGTAAATCATGACAGAGTTTTCACTTTTGGGTGAACTATCACTTTAAGGGCTAGAAAAGGCGGAAAATGGAGAAACATGTCCTGGCAGGTCACATTAGAATAACACTGAGAACAACTACGGCTGCACAATAGATTGTATTTTAAATGTGATCGCAATTATTGCTTCTCTCAGTTGTTTAAGCATTTTGTAGCCTGGTGGTTTATCCTGAGTTTCTGAGACATTTGCATTATCTTGCATTGGTAACAAGTCTCCACATGCATGTGTTTGTTTGCCAGATATTAAGACTTTAATCCCCCAATTAATGTGGAAGCCCATTTTCTGCCACTGAATAAAAAAAATCAGATAGGTGTAAACTCCCAATTGCAAGATAAAAGTCAGAATTGTGAGATAAAAAGTTGCAATGACCTTGTTTTGTTTTTTATTCAGTGGCAGAAACGGGCTTCCATAAACTAGAGCTTTTCATCTAAATGGATGCATTTTCTTCAGTTTTTAACTCAATCCTCCCAATCTGGCAACCATCCGCATGCGTTCCCTCTACACTGACGGTCTGAAATCTCCAGAAAACATGCTGGATTTTCTCCATTGAGATGTTCTTACGTGAAAATGGAATAATTCTGATTCCAGATGCACTCCTCAAATGACTGTGAGCAGAATAAGGCTATGTTCACGCTTGGTGTCTTCTTTTAAGCTGCCAGTGTCTGTTTTACATTATAATCCTACGGAGTAAACCGTGTTTTCAAAAAAGTCCTGAGTGCTTTTTTAAACGCCACCGCCGGCGTCTTTTCCTGCAGCTCAGAGCGTCGCTTCAAGCTGGAAAAAGTTCAACTTTTCTGAAAACACACCCTACGTCAAGCGCCTTTTTGACAGCTGACCAATCACAAGCGAGCGGCGAGTCGTTTCCATAACAACAATAAAAACAACAAGACAAATGGAGAAGATCCTGCTAGTTTCAGAACACAAGGAGTTGTATGATATGAGCACAAAACTCTATCTAGTCTAAAATATGCCGCAAACCGTGCATCATCCAACTGGAGCTCCTGAACTAAACCGTTTCTTTCCCCGTATAATGTCGCGCATCCACAAACATCGTTGTGAACCGACTTTCCCGACATTTCCGTAGCACATCCGAAGCTAACGTTACTGTTGCAGCTGTTGCTATAGCAACAAAAGCTGCTATTTGTAACCAACACACTGCCAGCTTTTTATTTGACTAAAAAAGCGCTCTGGTCAACTTTTTCTGGTCCGAAAAGACAGTAGGTGTGAGCACGGCCTAGCGGTGAGCCCAGACACCTTGTACTGGCTGAGGGGGTGTTTCTCCAGGAGGTACTCGTCGCAGCCGCACACTTTCAGCATGTACTGGCCCTGGTACTCCTGCACACAGAGCCGCAGCTGCTGCGCTGACAGATGCATGCTGCGCGTCTTCTTGCGGATGGCTTCAGCGATCAGCTGCTCCGGCAGAGAGTCGTGTGTGATCTTCAGAGTGTACTTCTGCTTGGAGTTAGACGGGGACACGATCACCCAGATGGTGACGATCAGACGGCCTGCGGAGACACAGAGACACTGAGAATCACCATGTTTTGTCTCAAATAGAGATCACCACACTCCCACGATTCTAAACTAGACAAAATAATGTGACAAAATGTTATTGCTGCAGTCTATTCAGCTGCTTACACACATTTTCAAAACTTTGCCTCTTTTTATCAAAACGTTACACACAAATCCAAGAATTGCACACAAAATACAAAATGCCTCACATCTCTTGCATTCAAAATATCACAAACACATCTCAAAAGCAAACATTTGCAAACACCTTTGCCATAATATTAATTCCTGTCAGATTTTTGTGTGTTACATAGAGAATTGTGTTGTGTTTTGCAAAAAGTGAAAACTGAGTCAAAGGCTGAGAATTAGTGTATGGTTTTGTAGATTTGGTGTGTGCTTCTGGTGTTTGAGAGTCAGCTTTCAGAAACTGTGTGACAAGTAATTAATAGTGTTCATCGTCTGTTTGATTACGTCTTTAATTGATTTTTTCTTACATTTCTGCCATATGTACATTAACTGACTGATAAGCTACCACTAAATATTGTGGAAACTTAATTTGCTGTACTGTGATCAGATGCCTGGAAATGTTAATCCATGCTATGGTAAGTGCCCACGCTAAGCTCTGCGCACTTTCTAAAATCCTGTACGGTAAGGGTTACGCGTTATAACTTCGTT